GGTTAGGTTAAGGGTTAGGGTTAGGTTTAGGGTTAGGGTTAGGTTTAGGGTTAGGGTTAGGGTTAGGGTTAGGTTTAGGTTAAGGGGTTAAGTTTAGGTTTATAGTTTACAGTGTGCTTCTGTCTCCGCGCTGTTGTCGCCCTGTTGATGACGTCAGCAACGCGGTTTAGTCGGGCGCAGTTTTGTCGTTCGCCCTTTTGTCGGTGAACTGGTTCAGATTGGTTCAGCTGAGTAACTCTTCTGGCCACGCCCCTGAACTGGTTCTACTGGTGGCACAATAGGCCCCGCCATCTTGTTTTCTGGTCCATGCGCATGCGCAGAAGCAATTTTTTTACTACTGTGCATGCATGTGTAGTGCACACGAAGCGCGTCCCTGAGCAGTAACAGAAGCCGGCACCCACCCCTGGCGAGGATCAATCGTATGTCACTTTTTCCAGTGCCACCATCTCTTTGAACAGACTCTAAACAAACGTTTGTTAAGTGGAGGGCTACCTAGATCTCTTGATTCAAAGAAAAATCGGGGGGAAACAGCACTAGAGAAGGTGATACCTCGCACCCATGACATTTCTTATTTCTTGTCGATGTTTGCATCTTCAACAAGCTCAGAATAACAGAGTTGGAGGGACCTTGGAGGTCTTCTAGTCCAACCCCTGCCCGAGCAGGAGGCTTTATATACCACCCTGGACAAATAGTTGTTCAATCTTATATTAAAAATCTCCAGTGACAGAGCACCTGTCCCACAACAGTTGGAGGGAAGCCATTCCATTGATTAACTATGCTAAAAAGAGGTTCCTAAACATACGGCATTAAGGAGATTATATATATATCCTTAATGCCATATGTTTAGGAACCTCTTTTCCTCTTATATACTCTAACAAAAGGAAAACAAAGGCACAACGGGTGTGAAAATTATAACTGTGGGCTCCCCAATCGAGATGAGGAACAAAACCCTAATCAACCAGTCTCTCATCCTGAAAATAATGCCATCTGTTGCTATTGTTTCGAAAGCAGGTGGCACCTATTACTTTACTCCAAACCTTCTAATCAAATTCATTTTAGGAAAAAGCTCCAGGTTTTAGGAGTTAACGGAGAATTGAGGAAACAGCTATTTCCTAGGTAGAGAGATTGAGCCCTTCAGAAGAATTCCACCTCGGCATCTTGAACTTAAGAGTCACCTTCTAGGGGTGATGGATGGCATAAACATTTAATCGAATAAATTAATAGAGAAATAAATGATAGGTGGATAGAGAGACATACATACANTGTAGAGGGAATTAAAGTCCTAAGGGACAAATATGGGAGGAAAACTAAAAAGAAAATAAGATTAAAGGTTCAGGAGCGGGTAAGAGATGAAGGATAAGGGAAAATAGAGTAAAGGAATATTTTTATGAATATACTTCAATAATGTCTATTAATATCAGAATTATGCAGGTTGCATTTTTATTTTAGCAGTGTGATAGTTATCAGGATAATATTGTAATATGAATGGATGGGGAGGATGGGAAAAATAGCCTTTGAATGGTTAAATATGTATAAAAATATGAATAACAGTGGAAGGTTAGAATTTAATGGGCGATTGATTATATCAATCTAAACATGTGTATTAATAATAGCATTATATGGATTGAAGAGCTGGAAAGAACGTGATAAATACCCCAAATATATAAATGATTATGATTCATACTAAAACTGTATAAGGAGATATTGAAAAAAGGGAAGAATGAAGGATGGGACGTTGATTTAACTAAGGAATTATGAACAATAAAATTGGGAGGAAACGTGTTTGAATATTATAGCGATATGAAAGGGAGAAAAAAAGTTACAATAGAGATAGAAAATAGTGGGGAATAACAATAATTATATATTAATATGTTAAGATATACAAAAGGACAGAACGATGGTTCATAATAAAAGACATATAAATAATATGGCAATGAAATGTAATATTTAGGAATAATAAGACTAAGTTTATGTTTACTGAAATGTATATTACCCAGTTACCACACTATTCCCCCCTTTTATATGTATAAAGAATATAAAAAATAAAAATTTGATTAGAAAAAAAAACCAAGAGAAATTTTGGGCTCAGCTATGGTTTCCTCAGAGTATCTTCCTCGCTGATTTTGAGATCTGGCAGGATTCTACTGATTTGTGGCGAGTTCCAGCACATACCTGGGGATGATCCATTGCTGCTGGTCAGTTTCTGGATGTAGTCTAAACAGGCTTCTTGTTCCTTCTTGATGAAACAATCAGAATGCATGGATGAAGTCTGCAGGAAAGCATAAAACAGGCCAATGGTGAGAACCTTAGACTTCAGGGCATTGGGGGGNTCTGTAGCTGCCCCGGCCCTATGGAACGATCTACCCCCAGAGATCCGGACCCTCCCCACTCTCTCGGCCTTCTGAAAGTCTACTAAGACCTGGCTGTTCCGGCAGGCCTGGGGCTGTTGACCTCATAAATGAGGTCCAACCCCACTAAGGTTGAGTGTATGATGTGTCTTTTAATTTGTTCTCTCTCTATTTTAAATTTTTTAGTATTTTTTAGAATTATTGTATGTAAGCCGCCCGGAGTCCTTCGGGATTGGGCAGCATACAAATTTATTAAATCTTGAAATCTTGAAATCTTAAGTGCAAAATGCACACATATGCACGGAGCGAGTGAACCGAGAGCGCATGCACAAACTTTTTCGGGCACCAAGCCAGTAGTAATGCCGACAGGAACCCACCCCTGCACTGCACATACGCAGAGCGTAAAAACAGACATGATCCCTTCCCAAAATCCATCATTTGCAGTTGCATTATCATGAATTGCCCAATTTACATTATCAAAAGCTTTCTGTGCATCCAAAAATAACAATGCCATTTGTTTCCCAGGGTATACTTTGTAATATTCTAATGAATTCAATATAATTCGCATATTATCTCTAATTTGTCTCTTGGGTAAAAAGCTATTTTGATCCTGATGAGCTCCAGGTAGGTGGGCGGAGCCTGCTACCAAGCACACCTGAAAAGGTAAGGGAACAGTTAGGGGGGGGAATCTGCTGTGCCATGCAATTTGAATTTATAATCACATGTCACAGCTGATTGTCTGAAAAACCAGTTCGCCCAAACTGGTGGCATTTTTTATTTTACTACCGATTAAGATGAACTGGTCCCAACCAGTAGCATTTCATCCCTGATCGATACTCCTTGCAGAAAACTGGTCATTTGCATTCTTTTAGAATGTCGTTGAAACACTCATCCTGTCAGAACTGAAGAAGCTTCTTGGATGAGAAGGGAAACGTCTTCAAAGAAAAAAACAAGAAAGTCCAGTTGCCTCCTGAAAAAGCACCTTTGAGGCAACCAGGACGTGAATGGCTGAGAATCTCTACAGATTTTCACTTAGCAACAAAACATTTGGACTCGATTATGTTTGTAAGTCAAGGGGTATCTTATTAACAAAATGTAGTTAATAGATAAAACATTAAAAAAGGCACAATTAAAATTTCCAAACCCTCTGTTAACAATATATTCAACTTGTGGGAAGTTTACCGCAGCTTCTGTACTCAGTTGATTCGGATTCGTTCTGGATCAAGTATCCTCGTTTACTTCTTAATAACATCTCTTATCAACTTTTGTCTGGTTAAATACACTAAATCCATTCTCCAAAATCGATGTATTTTTCCCCAAAATAAATCCAGGTGAAATCATGTTCCAGTTGAGCGCAATAACCCACATTTTGAGCACATGATTGTGGGGGGGGGGGCGTGGAGTGGTCATAAGTGGATCAGAGATGGGTTCCTACTGGTTCAGACCATGACCCGTCAAAAGGGCGAACGACAAAACCGCGCCCGACTAAACCGCGTCGCTGACGTCAAGAACGCGGCGACAACAGCCCGCGCGGAGAAAGAAGGTCGCTTTAAATAGCGCATTGAAAGAA